ATATTTAAATAATATTTTTTTTATTTTTAAATTTTATTTTTAATATCATTACATCAAAATAATCTAAAAACAGTAAAACAAAAAAAATAAAAAGGTCTTAAATTTTTTTAAAAATATTTTTAAAATATAAAAACAAATAAAAAATTTATTATTGTAATATAACTTTAGTTTTTTAATTGAATATAGACCAGGTAAATAAGTTTAGGTTTTTTTTTATTACTCTTTAAATTATTGAGTTGATTCAAGACAAAATAATTTTTTTATTAAGATAATTATTGTATGTGTACGGATAATTATTGTTATTGTATGTCGTGGTAATTGTTTATTTTAAAAAAAAATTGTATATATAAATAGATTTGTAGTCAATTCTGGTAAGATATAGAGAAATAATGAATTTTTATCTTTTATTAATAAAATATGAACTAAGAGTCACCACTTAATATTCTAGTTACTAAGAACCTTAATTAGTTTCATAGAAAGAGTATGGAGACTAGTTGTGTAAAGAAAATATATTAATACTCCAACTGTACCCTACCCAAAATAATCTGTATTTTTTTGTTTGATAAAATCTAAGATTTGGTTGTGGTGTCTAAAATTTATCGGTTAATAAAATTTAATTGAGCCTGTAAACATCTGATTTTGAATTTTTTTTCCTCAAATTCAATTTTTTTTTATTAACAGAGTTCTCATCAGTCAACAAAATATTATTAATTTTTAATTTTTATAATTTTAAACTTTTTCAACCAATTTTTGATCATTTATCGGGTGTTTTGACATTATTTTTTCACTATTATTTTTTTATATAGTTTTATTTTTTTGTGTGAGGGTTCAAAAATAGGTTACGATAATAATAGCATTTCATTTTATTTGTTTATTTTAGCATTGATTAATCAAATCAATAAAACCTCAATAATTTATCACATGCAATTGAAAAATCAGCCCAAATAAGGCTAAAATTGAATTTAATAACTACAAATATTATGGATGAATGAAAACAAATTCAAATAATAGCTGCATTGTGTTTATTGATAATTGACTGATAGGAGGAAAGAAAATGCAAACAATAGCATGAAACTAGATAAACTTCTACTGTGGGCATAACCTAGCAGATATTGACAAAATAAAGGTACAAAAATCCAACCTAGGATTTTATAATCCTGTACTCAATCAGGTTTTATAATTTATTATTATATTTATTTTGTATTAAAATATTAAAAAAACTTAATATAACTTATTTTGTATTAAAATATTTTTTTAAAAAAACTTATTATTGCTTCAACACTATTCTAGACTACCTTTCGGTTTTGATTTTTTGTAAATGTCTAAAAACTTTGGGATTATATTTGGAGGTTTTATGTTCAATTCATGAAAGAATAGAGAGATTTAGAGTTGAGGGGCTATACTACTTTAAAAATAAGAAGGGTTTTTATGTAGTCCTTTTCATTAAATATTATTTATTGAAATAATATCTTTTTAATTATTGCTTTATTTAAAAAAAATATTTTTTAATATTTTTTTATTGAGTTATTTTATTTTCATTACATGAATCATAGGTTTAACGAGTTAATTAGATTGATTTAAATTTTTATAATTTTATTATTTAATATTAAATTTAATTAAAAATTAGATTTTATTATTTGTTTTATTTTATTTTTATAAGTTATTTTAGCCTTATAATTCAAGAATTGTGCTAAATAAGTTAATATGAATTAATTCGAGGTATTTTTTTTTATTTTTAATTGATTTTTTAATTTTAAAATTTAAAATTAAATGGATTAAAAATTAAATTTTATAATTTATTTTAACTTTTATTATAACAATAACTGGATTTTATTATTAAAATTACGAGTTTTGATATTTTACCTCGGTTAAATCAATTGCTTTTTTCTTCTTCTTTCTAAGCCTATGGTGCATGTCTCTGTCTCCCAAGTCCTTTTGTTTCTTCTGACTTTATACTGTAATCAAATGCTACCTAAAATAAATTTGTTTTAGGATAGTTTTAAATTGAGTTTTTGTAATTCCAAGATGAAATATACAGAAAAATATATCTCATTGTCCCCATTTTTATTTTATTTTTCTCATTATTTATACGGTAATCAAACGCATACGGGATAACTGCCGACTGGTATAATTTTTTACAAAGAATGAGTCAGGGGGGATTATGATTTGAAGTACATCAACGCCACCTTGCCCCTTAACCTTTGGTTAAAAGCTAAAAGAAAACAAGAATTAAATCCCATAAAGAATTCCCGTGCAACAAATATTGCTGACATAAAACAAATAATTGCTGACAACCTTAGGGTCACATTACCATAAGGGGAAGTCAATCTCCATTATGGAGTGTTGTAGCTAAATACTTTTGAAGTATGGCCAACATTAGCTTGCTTTTTTGTTGTTGTGTTCTTTATGGTCTAAAAGTTCTGCTATGACATGCTCTTGAATTGCTGCAGACAATTTTGAAGTATGGCGAACAGTAGCTGCTTTTGTGTTATAATTAGTTAACAGTTGCAAATACTGTATCCATTACTATTCTCTCATGTCTGTCTCCGTCATTGAGTTTGAAAAATTTCTGAATAGGCAGAAACTTAATATTTTTCAAACCAATAGCATCATCATCATCATCGTCATCATCATGGTACATTTTTGTGTAAGATTTTGTAAAAGAAGCCTTTCTTTAAGGTAGGATTTTACACCAGGTTGCGGGGACGATGGTGGGCTGTTGATGGTTTACCTGTCATCATAAAGTAGCAGAAAAAAGAGAAGAAAGATAAGGAATGATTGCAGCTTATAATAGCAGTATTGACAGATGTTAATGGGGGGCTTGTGGGGATCAATATCTACAATTCTGAACATCTCTTGACATCTGAGGACAAAATCAAGTTCCGCATGATAATCATACAGGGGACCTAATTCACACCGAAAGCCGAAAGGCCTTTCCTTTCACTTCAAGGCACCACCCCTGACTGGACCAGTTTGGCACATGTAAACCCTTTAGAGATACTAAAATTAGAGAGAAATCAAATCTTGCATTGAAAAATACTTGCTATGAAGCCGAAAGGGCTTTAACAATGAAATTAGCGGATGAGTTGATACTGGATTCTTTCCCCTCTCATTAGCAAATGATTGTCCTGCAACTTGTGAAAAGATCTGCAGGAAGATGTTGAAAATCTGGAAAAGACTTGTGATCTGACTTCAAATGGACCCAATAATTGCTAGAGCTCAGTGGTTATAGATTATTGGTGACTAACTAGCAAATAGTTTTTGTAAGATTCTGGCTTAGTCACACTGCCATCAAAACCTACACCATGTGCAGGTAGTGCAATTAAAGGTGCTTCTAACATCACCCATCCATAATTTCCTACATGAATTATCCCCATTGATTCCATAACCAACCCATCAATCAAATCTGAGAAAAAAAAAAAACAAAGAAAAGAAAACTATGTGAAGCTGTCAACAAGGCCTTCTGGCTCATGTTAGGAAGTTGTTGGTTAGTTTTTTTTTTTTTCTCCACGTAGCACAATGAAAAACAAATCCCAAGCTAACGAGGTTAAAAAAAAATTTTCCTAAAATAACACTAGTTGTACAGGGTTTGCATAAGTGACTATATAGCATGTCATGCATGTGCGACCTCCATAAGTGACCTCCTTATTTTGTTAGTTGCACTATATAAAGATGAGCAAATACTTTATGACATGTATAGGCCCCAGCTAGCCAGGCAGAGTCTCTTTCATCAGCTCAGCTTGTTTATGCCTTTCTAATCAACATGACATATCGCAAATTTGAAACATTTAGTTCCGCCTATATTAAGACCGAAGACTGTAAGTAATAAGATGACTGCAAGAACGCAAAAAATGGAAGGTGAGAAAGGAGCTGCAGATCATCCTGAGACCAGGGACACCTACAAAATTGCTTATACAATCCATTTTCTGCTTGGTGCTGGTAATTTGCTTCCATGGAACGCTTTTATCACAGCTATTGATTACTTTGGCTATCTCTATCCAACCAAGCACATTGAGAAGGTCTTTTCTGTAGCTTACATGAGCTCTTCTGTTCTGGTTCTACTAATAGTCGTGAGTTGGGGTGGCTGGAGCAAGCAGCTAAGTTACAGATTAAGAATGAACATGGGATTTTGCATTTTTGTACTCTCTCTAATGGTGGCTCCACTAATAGACTGGTCTTCGAGTGGCAGTGGGCCAGAAGGGAGATCAAATGGTGCCTATGGTGTGACAGTTGCATCAGTCGTGGTTTGTGGTATAGCTGATGGATTGATAGGAGGAAGTTTGATAGGAGCAGCTGGAAAGCTTCCAAAACAGTACATGCAGGCTGTTTTTGCGGGAACTGCCTCTTCAGGTATTATATAATACCCCAATTTTTCTTATTATTTCTTCCATGATTCAACAGAAAAGGAAGTATTAAAGAGTAGATGAGTAGGAAACATGGTCGATGGTAAGTTCTTATGATGATAAAGCATGTTGTCTCTTCCAATTATGAATTAAAAGCAAACAACATAGTGGTCGTGGAATCATTTTCACCTGTTGGAGAGAATTTGATGAAGATAAATAGCATCCTAAGGAGACTGTCTTTTCCTTTCAGGGCCAAAGTTATAGATTTACTTCCACGAATTTAATCAAGGCACAAATCTTCACTGTTGTCCTTAGACAGGTTATTCAGAATAAGCAATCATTTCCAGCAATAGCATGTTTTCACTTTTTCCATCATTGCCAGCAAGTACTTTCCTGGCAGAACATAACTTCTGGAAAGATTTGAACAGTTTCCATGCCTTGTGGAGCATCAAATGATTCAGAATTTCGTGAGTTTTGAGATTGCAGGGGACTAGAACCTCAATGAATCCATCAGAAAACAACCCTATTACCACTATCAGCTATGCTTCCGAGAAGTTGGTTTTAAACTGTATCATTCATGGCATATTTTTAGGAGAAAGATGTAAAATACATGTTTGTTGTCTTGCTTGAACTGTATTTTGCATGTAAGGTGTAGATGAGTGAAAGCAAGTATTCTTTGGTGAAGTAGATATTGTTAGACAGCTCAAAGAATCATACTCTGTTCCCCTGACTACATCAATTGCTTTTAACAGGTGTTCTCATTTCCATCTTGAGAATCATTACAAAGGCATCACTCCCTCAGAACCCTCAACGTCTCCGAACAAGTGCTCACTTCTACTTTATAGTTAGCGCCATCATTCTACTGTGTTGCGCTCTCTCTTCCAATTTGTTATACAAACTACCAGTTATGGAAGAGCATTACAAACTTGCTCCTGATGATTCACTGTTTCCAAAACCAAAATTTTGGGCTGTAGCAAGAAAAATCCGATGGCCAGCTTTTGGTGTTCTCATGATTTATATCGTGACTTTGTCGATATTTCCTGGTTTCATAGCAGAAGATCTCTCGTCCAAGTTACTAAAAGATTGGTATCCCGTTTTGCTAATAACAATATACAATGTTGCAGACTTCACAGGGAAATCTTTAACAGCAATATATGTTCTGAAGAGCATTAAGAAGGCAACATGGGGTTGCATTCTCAGGCTTGTGTTCTATCCTCTCTTTGCAGCTTGTCTCGAAGGACCCAAGTGGCTGAAAACTGAAGTACCCGTGGCAATTCTAACTTTTATGCTCGGAGTGACTAACGGCTATCTGACAAGTGTTCTCATGATCCTTGCTCCCATGGCAGTATCAGTTTCAGAAGCAGAGTTATCTGCAATTGCAATGGTTGTGTTCCTCGGAATAGGGCTGGTTGGTGGATCAGTTATTGGCTGGTTTTGGATCGTTTGAGCTTTTTTTTCGGTCTCTCAAGCTAGTTGGGAACAGATTACATTCACAAGTAAAATTCAAGAACAAAGGTAACTGGAGGTTAGCACTAGGAATAATCGATGGCAATTCCCATTGCATGATATGAATTTTAGAGCTATCAATCTTTAGTTTCCCAATCAACTGCTAATTTATTGTTCTGAGTGAAAGTATCCTTATCCTTCGTGTATTGAAGAAGATTAGATTACTCTTCTTACCCTTTCTAAAGCACAGGTTTAACTCTCCAAATATTCCCATTCGCACTCAAAAGGATGGTTTAACAGGGGGCAGATGACCTCAAACATACACTGAAAGATGATTAAAACGAGAAAATCTCGATATATCTCACAACACGCGAATCAGAATCCCCCGGTAGCTGTTAGTGAATTTGCTTACAAAATGGAGCTATAACGTTCAATGACAGCATGTCCGCCAGGCTTCCACTAGCCTTTGTCGAGACTTTGACTATTCAATCTCTAGCTGGAAGCTGTTTGATACTATCAATCAGGGAGCTGGCATGGACCCAAAATAATCACATTGGTTCAGTCTTACTGGACTTAGCTTGAGTTGCAAGCATAGCTTCGCAGTCGCAGAGCCCCTAACCCCAAAACTTGATGTGAAGGCAAGCCTAACCTAACAACACACATCCTGGCAAAATGGTAGATCAGGTCCTGTTACTGTACTAGCAAATAGCATATAGAAAATTTTAAACCTCCTGGGACTATTATTGAATACAGGGGAAGAAAGAACATGATAATTTAACGATTTAATCTATCCAGGCTTTATCATTTCCTTCATTCCTTCAGGTTAATTAAAGGTGAAGCAAAAAACCTAAATGAAATTTAAGAGGCAGTACATAACATGCTAAACGCATTGTTAATGTCTTAATTATACTAATATCTACAGCTCTTTTCTGTCCAACCACAAAGCTTATCTACAGGGGGGGTTACTTGCACGACCAGAGGAAAGGATATTTCAAACTTCAAAGTTTCAGCAAAACTCCACTACGCAGTGGCAGCAATACCTGCCAGAACAAAAGAACTTTATTGACAAATATATAACAAGCTAAGCAGAAAGTAAGAGAGGTAATGCCATAAAAACTCGTCTTATCTTTTATTTTTCTTTCTACATCGAATGACTAGAGGAGCAAAGCATGGTAATCAAACAACTCAACTGAGCAGCTTAAAAGGTTACTACAAAAATTGTAAAAAGAAAGGATGTATAAACAAAGGTCAGAAGTTATGTCTAAGCTATGATACAAGGTTTTTGGGAAAGGTGGTGGTCTCAAGATGAGGCGGCTAAAGGAGGGAGAGGAGGCTTGGATCCATGGAAAAAAGTTGACGGTGACAATTTGCTCATATTTTCTCTCTGTTCCTGCTCCCCGTCCTCCCCCTCCCCCTCCTCCTCCTCTTCAGCTTCCCAAAGAAACCGAGCATAAGATGCCATCACATAACTGCAGCATCAAAACAAAGACATATTTAAAACTTGGCATCCATCATAACTACAGCGACAATGGTAAAGTACAATACTGTAATACTGATAATTGTCTATCCACGTACAATCCTTTTTCCCATCAAACATTGAAACAAAGATCATGAAATAATTCATGTCTCTAAGGTTCCAGCAGCAAATTTAATGGACTCTACAATCAACAATGGTGCTTACCAATCATCGGGGGCAGCTTTAACAGCTCGATCGAAATAAGATTCAGCACGAGAAGCATTCTTATGACTCTGCCATATCAAATCAGCATACATTGAAAGAACATCTGCATCATTAGGGTTGGCTAGAATTGCTCTGCCACAGTACTCTTCAGCTTTTACAAAATCCAAACGAATCTGTTCCAATTCCAAAACAATACATTAGAACAATCTAGCCCAACAAGATTGGCTCCTATTCACTTACTAAATCATTCCTAATTTACTCATACTTACCTTTTGAGTATGAAAATCATTTTTTATGTCTAAAAAACATTTTTTCTCACGATTCTGTAGCATAGAGTTTCAACAACTTTATACTTTGAGAATATCCATTAAAGTAATTTCCTACAAAGAGCAGAACTTTTATACAAAAGGAGCTTTAAAGGCACAAATTTCAGATGGATATTCACTGTTGATATACAATTACATTAACTACACAAGACAGAAACATAGCTTCCCATTTCTTTAAACTTCAAAAAAATTAAAAAAAGAAAAAAGAAAACAACACAAAACACATTATCTAACCATAACACAAACAAATTCAATAAAACAAAAAACAAAAAAATATCAAAAAACATGCAAGCAAGAACCTTTTGCTATACAGCAAACACTTACCTCTTTCAAGAATCTGGCATAATTTCTGAGAAAAAGAGGATTCCCAGGATTGGCTTCAATCATCGTCTGATAATAAACATCGGTAGTTTCAGTCCCCTCATTAGACTCCCGAGACCCTGATCCTCCATCATCACCAAAATCCGACCTACCACGACCACCACAAAACTTCCGTCCTCCACCATCACTACCACCACCCGTCACCGAAACCTCCAGCACCCCATTATGACCCTCCCCCTTCTCTCCAGCCTCACACCCTTCAAAAAACAACCCTCCCTCCCAAAATGACACCTTTTTCTCCACTTCTTCATCAACAGGGATTCCATTCAAGATTCCGTTACTGGGTTTTCTCTTTGGCACTGAGAGGTCCCTTAAATCTGCCTCGGAAAAGGCTCTTGTCATTCTTTTAATAGAATCATGATCTTGTGAAGAAATGGAAGAAAATGGACTAGAAGATGATGCTGTCAACGAAATGGGTCGGGTTTTTTGAAATTGGTGCACAGATTCGGGTTCTGGAGATGGTTCTTTCAAGTGTGGAGGGATCCATGAATCCAGAATTGGCGTTGATGAGCTTCTAAGAAGCATTTTTTTGGCCTTGGATTGCTCTCAATCTCTGCAAGTGTGGAGCCTTGGCATGTGAGATGGAGGAGAAGGTGATGTATTTATATAGGAGTAAGGATTGAATCTTGGCCGTTGATTTTGTTAACGTAGGGATTCGGAGAGTACTATACACGTTCTTTTTTCGGTATTGGAGTTTCAGTGGCTTTTTTGGGTAAAGGATCTAAAGTTTTAATTTTCGGTATCAGTGGCTTGTTTGGGTAAAGGATCTAAAGTTTTAATTTTAGAATTTTGTTTTTCTATTTTATGGTTTTCAAAAAATCTTTTCTTGAATTGTATTCTTTTTACCATTGTCATCAAAGCTTGGTCACGGGTTTCGGAACTTTAATTTTAAAATAATATTATTTTATTTTTGAAAATAAGGCAATATTATTCTAGATTATCAAAAAATTATAGGTTTAGATAAAAATTTTAAAAAATCTTTTAAATTTACTTGATGTTATGTCACTGGAATTTGTCTGATTTAGTCAAATTTAATAAATAAATTTTTATTTATAATATGTATAATTTTGGAATAATTTATTTATTTTTCTTTTTCTTTTTAATTTTATAACATGATTAATTGATGGATTGTTGGTTGCAGTTGATAATTGGCCACTAATAAATAATGTAGGTGATTAATTGTTTTATTTATTTGTTGAGTAATTAATTGGTTATTAAAAGTCATTAATCATCCAGGTTTTATTGTAAACTATATATATATATATATATATATATATAAACATGCATAGTCTTCCTTTTTAATTAGAGAAACATTGTCTAGATTTAGTATTAATCAATCAAAATAATTTTTTTCTTATTGATTTTAACATGGTTTAATTTTTGTTTAGGAAGAAAGTCTTTATTTACTTATTTATTTTCTTTTGAAATTTAATTTATCATGCAGTTATGGTGTGCTTTTATAACATTTCTTTATGGACCCAATATAACTTTATAGTATATAATTATGTATTAAGGCATATGTTTCGTATTAATACTCTCTAGAGAAAAATCAAGGAAAAAGCATGAATTACTATTTACTCTATGATCCAAACGAAATCACTGTACAGTATCAACGTGCTTCTCTTCCATTCACATAAAAGGAAAAAACAAAATATTCATGGTTTCATTTTTTCTTATGAACGTGTGCATTACTGCGTATACATAACAATCTCTCACAATTATAAATTATGAAAATTAAAGAAAAGAATGAGTTTTATTTTATCACACTGATACGCTTTGATTGTATGCTTATTTATTTGGTGAATGTTTTCATTCCATATACTTAATAGAAAAATAAAATCAAACCAGAAAAAAATTTAATCTTAATTAGGTTGTTTTGCCCGCACTACATAAGATTAATTCAGATTTTTTTCTAATATAAAAAACAATATACAAACAATAATGATAATATAAGTCAATTCAAGTTAATTTAACAAACATATAAAATATTAGATCAAAATACCTTATAAAATAAAATACAAAAAGAATCATAAAGCTCAGAATCCAATAACTCAATTTCAAATGATAAAATTAAAAAAAATAATATTAAAGAAAAAACTTGAGTTAATCTGGGTTCACTATAATAACTCACCACTCGTAATATGAGATCTACATTAAAAAAATATTTTTTCCAACAATCTAGAAAAAATTATCTAAATTAAATAAATAAAAAAGCATTGGAAAAAAAATAAGTTACCACGGGTTAGCTTGATTAATCTATGACCTAGGATAACCTTACTAACCTACAATATGAGATAACCCCGTAAAAATAAAAAGTATAAAAATCAAAAAAGCTTCAGACTTAATAATTTAATGTCAAATAATAAAAATAAAAATAAAACATTAAAAAAATTCAAAAATACTCGAGTTAACTTAACTAACTTATGATAAAAAAAATAACCCCATAAAATAAAATAAAAATTAAAAAGAGAGCATTTAAAATAACAAGGACCAGAATTAGATAAAAAAACAAAATAAAAAATTAAGGGACAAAATAAAAAATATTAAGAGAATGAAAAAAAAAAGAGAAATTAAAAGAATGAACACCAAAATTGGATAAAAAAATAAATGAAATAAAAAATTAAAGAATAAAATTAAAAAAAATATTAAATGAGTATCATATTTGATATAAAAACCAAATAAAATAAAATAAAAACAAAAAAATCCAAAATAAAGAAAGATCAATAAAAAAAAATTACAATTAAAATAAAAAATAAATAAGAAGAAAACTGTGTATTTTAGTTGACCCCACATTTATTTTAAGGAGAAAGGAGTAAAAAAAAAGTAGGGAAGAGAGAAAAAATTTCATTGTTGTCCAGCTATTGTGAATTGCACTAC